ATCAAACAAATTGCAAGCTTTCATGAGTAAAAGCTCACTTCCTCAGACTGGGTACCACCCCATCATGAATAGTGAAGAAAAATTGTATGTCAGAGTGCCAAAAATTCATGGCGGATGTCTGTTCTGAGTCTGCTTGTATGAGTTGATCTGAGATTTAGATTGTAAAGTCAGCTGTAAGGTATGGTTTCAAGTATCACCCCTTGCAGCATGGTTGGGATGTTCCATCCCAAACTCCAAACAAAGAATTTGCTAATTACTGTGTGGCTGCATCACCCATCACATTACTTGCTGCTTAAAATGGAGTTTCTTCTGGGCTGGGGAAAAACAATACAGAGATGCAAAACTTCTAGAGGAAGGTTGAGATTATGAGTTTTTTATTTATCAGGAACCGTCTCTCCGACCATGTGCTTCCAAGTGCTGGTTATGAGCAATAAAGCCCAATATGCTTGGGGTCCTTCTCACCCCATAGGAGCCCCCCACCCCCAGCCTTCAGATATGTTAGGGAAGCCTTACGCCCGGCCCTATGGCCTTCACAGATGTGTTTGGGGCAGGCACAAGAGTGGGCCTTCTTGGTGGCTGCTCCCAGGCTGGGGAACTCCCTCCCACTGGAAACCAGGCTGGTCCCCTCTTGGCTGTCCTCCCACAAGCAGGCCAAGACTTCTCTTTGAGCTGTTGATGAGGCTGCAGAGAGCTTTTAAGAGGGAATGCTATGCTGTTGTTTTTAAAGTTTGTGCATCCTTTCCCCCCTGTTTTTGTCTTTAAACTATCCTGCTTATTTTATGTCCCACCTTTTTTCTAGTGAAGGGACTCAGGGTGGTGGAGAACAAGTAAAAATGCATTATGTTTAAAATCACAGTGCTTCCAGATACAGTATTACTATTAAAATACAAGTAAGCATACACCATGTTAAAACAGTACTAGTTGGAACAAACTGAAACACATATAATAAAATAATATATATATAAAAACTGGACTTTTATCTATTTATTTATACATACCCCACCTAATCTGGTCATTGTGACCCTTCTAGGCGGCTTACAACAAGAAGGAAGAGTCCATCTCGGGACCCCTGTGGTGTGTTCTTTGTACCTTTCAGCAGAAAAGGCATTTGGGCCATGAAGGCCACCCCTGTCTTGCATGCTGGCCCGCCTGTGAGCAGGGACAGAATCATCTCCCGTTTCCCAAAGGTAAGGAAACTGCCCCCTTTGGGTTGGAATTTCTGACGGGCCTTTCCGTCAAAGGAGGGCGTGTGAAGCCCCATCGCTGTGGGGGAGGCAAAGTTGTCTGAGCTCAGGGAAGGGGGAGCCCTGGGTGGGTCTAAGCCCACGGACGGCCAAGCCCCCACTCTCCCTCTGTCCACAGTGGTACACCCCGGAGGCGGCACTCCAGTTGAAAGACCACTTTCTCGACCACGTCAAGGATGCCTGCCAGCCGAGGAGCCTGGGGGCCGTGGGGTGAGTCTGGGGCTGGGCTTTGCGTTGGAGGAGACTGGGAGGGCCTTGCTAGAGCGCCATCTCTATCTAGAGCGCCATCTCTATCGGTGTCTCTCTCTTGACCTTTTGCTTCTGCTTCACTTTCCTTCCTTTGCCTTTGTGGCCACGGACTGGGTTTCCCCCGAGCCCACATTGAGAAAATAGGCGCTTACCAAATGCTGCTAATTTTTTTGGTAAGTCCTTGGGGGCAAGGTTTTCCTCTCCAATTCCCGTTCGTCTTGGCCTCAAAGGTTGGGAAGGATGGGAGCTGCCACCCAACAACATCTGGAAAACCTCTGGTTCCACCCTCGCACTTGCCTGGAAGCCCCTTGGGTTGCCTGCCCAGCTTTGCAATGCCCTGTGTATGTAGAAGGGGACGCGCTGGAAGTCCATTCAAAGGGCTGTGATGCTTCCTCTTGCGCTCAATGAAGGGCTGGGTCAAATTCAGACCTTAGGATCAGCCGTACGTTGAAGGAAGGAGAGGGGCCCTTCCCAACCTGGGGCTCCATGCCCTGGGGGGAGGCATTTAGGGGTCACAGTTCCAGCAAGATAAGAGCCTGGTTTTGGCCCAGAATGGCCAGGCCGGAGACCAATTCTTTTATCAGTTTCCTCTAGCACAGCTGTCTTCAGGCACCTCTCTCAACTCACCGGTCTGCAAACCTGAGCTCCTGTCGCCATGCAGAATTTTGCTGGTCTGCAAACCTGCGCTCCTGTGCCAGGGAATGCTCCTGTCCTGTCCTGTCCTGAACCTCCAGGGGTGGCAGAGGAGAGTTTCCTCTGCCCGGCAAAATCTCCTGGAATCCCAGGCCTATCAGCCCCCAAACCACACAAAGCCTCCCGAGGCAGCAAAAACAAAGTTCCATGTGTAACGATGTGGCTTCCTCTGTGTTGCAGGCTCAAAATGTCCAAGGTGGTTATGGTGGGTGACCTCTGCGTTGGGAAAACCAGCCTCATCAACAGGTAGGGAGGCTCCCGAGACTGAATTTGCTGGGTGGTTTGTTTGCTCCTCTGCTTCGTTTTCCTTAAAGACTGTTTGCCGCTTTCCTCCCAGGGCAAGGAAGGGTCCCGGATCAGCCCTCGCTCTGTGGGTCCAAAAGACCTAAGAGAAGGGCTTGGGGTGGGGGAGAGAGTTAGAATGGGCGACTCTTTGCTGACACCAAGGTGTGGTGGGTCATGATGTCCCGGAGCCGAGTCCAGCATGATAGACGTCTTGAGCCGTTCAAAAGCCCCACACTTTTTTTCCCTCCACCCCAACACCACGGTCCACCTTTCAAAATTCTTTCAAATGCATATACTGGGCCTTCTCTCAAATGCAAAGCTTAATCTCTCTTTCTCTCTCTGTTATAGCACAGTGTCTGAAACATTTGAAAACATTCTAAGGCAAACTTTCAAATTAAGAGAACAGAAGCCCCCTTTAAAATCTCTCAGAGGCTAAATACGAAGAAGGAGCAAGTTAATCAGCATCTTGGCCTGAGGATTTGCTCGACCTCTGGGTTAAACATGCACCCTGGTCTCGGTGTGTTGTGCTTCCTTTCAGCTGAGCAGCCCCCCCTCTAGCACACACCCCCACGTCCACTTAAACCACCTCCAACATACCTCTGGGTTAAATGTGCACCCTGGTCTCGGTGTGCTGTGCTTCCTTTCAGCTCAGCAGCCCCGCTTCTAGGCCCCCCCCACGTCCACTTAAACCACCTCCAACAGCAAGTGACAACACCTGAAGCTTCAGACATGTGTCTCTTCCATGTCTGAGTGCAGTCTACCAGTGTTTGCTACCATGACTCTGCTCATTGTACTGGTTGTGTGCAAGGAGAGGAATCATCTCCCCAGCCCCCCCCACACCCCAGGCAAGCAGGCCAGTCAGTCCCCATGGTCATCAGCAGGAATTTTAAGCATCCAAAGAGTTCCATTGAACAAATAAGCACCAGAGAGCAACTGCTTCCTGGGTCAGGTTCTCTCTCCTCTTCCTTCTCTGCTCTCCTCCCTCGGTTCCCTGACTCCTCCTCCCATTTTCTCATTGCAGGTTTTGCAAAGATGCTTTTGATCGAGATTACAAGGCGACCATTGGAGTGGATTTTGAAATTGAGCGTTTTGAGGTCGCTGGAGTCCCCTTCAGTCTCCAGATGTAAGTTGGGCTGGACCCGTGCATGTGGAATGTGTGAGCAGAACATGAACAAGCTCGGAGCTCTTCAGAGAGGTACCACTGGGTTGTTCTTTCCACCTGTACCACAGTGACAAAACAAGAAACAAAACCCCCAAGCAGATACAGAAGTAGGACTCTCAGGGAAATGCTGGGAATTGTGGTTCTTTTTTGCTTTTTCTTTCTTTCTTTCTTTCTTTGAGGCAACCCTGACCCCCCCCCTCTGGTCCTGCTGTAGGGAAGGAAGGCAGAACGGCTGAAGGTGGGCTTGGTCTTCTCTTGGTGTCCAAGGGGCCAGCTCTCTCCACCCGCCTTCCAAAGAGAGAGGCAGGCCTCTGCTTTATTTGTCCCCATCTCTGCTGGCTGCCTTTGCTTCCTCCTGGGTGGCCCCTTGGCTTGCACCTATTAGGGTGGGCTGACTTTCCTGGTTTCCCTCTTGCACAGATGGGACACAGCCGGTCAAGAAAAGTTCAAGTGCATCGCATCGGCTTACTACCGAGGAGCAGAAGGCAAGTCAAGAGCCTCGGCTTCACCCCCACCCCGCCCCAGCAGCCTGGAAGGGGAGCCCCCCTCCCCAAAATTCTTTGACCTCTGCCAAATCAAAGCCGAAACACTCATCTCCTGCAACCTTTCACCCTCACCCCCTTGTTTCCATTGCAGTCATCATCACGGTCTTCAACTTGGCTGATATCCGGACGTTGGAACACACCGTGTAAGCCCTCCCAGTTTCACCCCTGCAAAAGCATTTCCCAGGCTGGGGGAACAGAGCCAAGAGGGGGGGTCTAGGGACCCTCTGGGCATCCTCAGGGACCCCACTCCCTCTGGCCCAGCAAGATCCGGAGGGCCACTGGCTTCCTAGCCTCAACAGCAGGCAGGCCATGTGATCCCAGAAGGACGTGGTCGGCCAAGGCTCGAAATGGGATGTTGGAATCTGGGGGCTGCCCCTCTGGGCCTTGTTTGGCCAGATCCTCTGGCTTGTCTAGAGATAAGCGGGCTAGCCCTTGGGTTACAAGCCTCTCTGTGAGGATTTTTAGTCTATCGAGGGAGAGTAACAGAGCTTTCCTCTGCTTGTTGAGAGGCAGGATGGGTTGGGGCCCCGAATGGATAGAGAAACGGTTCCTCTGAGCTCGGGACGTCCTGCCGTGTTCCTTCCTTGCTCGGCTTCTGCCTGCCCCTGGCGGCCTTGGCTCAGCCCTGCACCCCTTTTGTTGGGGGGGGTGCGTCCCTCTACCTGTGCTTGGTGCCAGTGTCCAAGCAGGACCCCTTGGGGTCGCGCTCCAGGTGGCTCCAAGGCGGGTCTCCCTGGACTGTGAGTTCCCTCCCCTGGTGCCTCTTTTTCAGGCAGTGGCTGGAAGACGCCTTGCGGGAGAACAGCCTGGGGCCCAGGGTCATCTTTCTAGTGGGAACCAAGAAAGATCTCGTGGTAAGTGTGAGAAAGGCTGGAACACCTGAGAGAAGTAGCATTTCCTGGAGATGCAGCCGCTTCCCTTCAGTTCCTAGGAAATGTCAACATCTGGGCCAGTTGCCCCTCTGGAGCAAGCGGTGAAACCCTGCTGCCTTTCTCCCTTCCCGGCAGCCGAGCCAGCGCTTCTCCTGGCAGAAATCCCCCCCCCCATCCCTGGCTGCTGAGCGCTGTCCTTCAGCAGCTGGCTCTGCCACCAGCAACACCCTGGTGCTTTGGCTCCCACCTGGCCCGCGTCCTCTTCGAGCGGCACGAATGGGCCTCCCAAGGATTTCACTGAAGGCGGCTGGGCGGGTCCCTCTGGTCCAGCATCCTTCCTCCTACCCTGGAACGGGGGCTTGCTTGATCAACCTTTTTGCAAATCAACCTTTTGCAAAGACCAACACCTGTGCTGAGCTTTTTCCTTTGGGTCCACAGAGGAACTGTTAGTCCAAGAACATCTTAGTTAAAGTATATGTTGTTCCTAGATATATATCTTTTTTAAAATTTTAACTGGCCGAGTGCATCGCTATGGCTAGGCAACCACTGTTGCTGCCTCGCCATCTAAGGCAGAAGAGCGCCCCCCAAGTGTTTTGGACCAGCCAATTCCCTAGGGAGGAATAAGTGGGTGGGTGGGAGGGAGGAGGTGCTGGAGAATCTGTCTCCTCCCCAGCCTGGATCTCCCCGGCTGGCCATCCCCACCTCTGGGCGCCGTGAATTCCACCAACCCTGTGCAGGAAAAGTCCACCTTCACTGTTTTGGAGTAGAGAAATCCACCCCGGCTTTCCTTGGGAAATGCAGAGCAGGCAGTTGAGATGGGTCTGAGCATTCCTCCCTTTGTGTTCCAGTCGGATGCGGAGTGTGAGCGAACAGAAGCCGACGCCGTCCATATGGCCAACAGGATGCAGGCCGAGTACTGGTCCGTTTCAGCAAAAACAGGTCAGTTGAGCTTGTGGCACAGGGTGGTGAGTTTTTTGAGAGGGATTTTGAGGGGGGGAATGAGGATACCTGCGAGCCGTCTCCTCCTTAGGCCAAACATACCAGGCTTCCCTCTGTCTTGCGTGGCCCTGGAGCCTGGTCAACGGCAAGGGAGCACTTTGGCGCCTGTTCATTGGAATTGTTCATTGGGAGGAGACATCCACCTTGCACTTAGAAGAGCCTAAAATGTTACTCTACCAGAGAGGCAGTCCTTTGAGGCTGTGGCATCCTGCACAATCAACTTGGAAATCGAGCTTTGGGCATCTAATCGTTATACAAAGTCAAACTAATTTTCCACTTTTGGAGTTGCAGCAAACCTCATATTGGGATAAATAAATGTCTGTTGCCTATGAAGGAGGTTCTGCTCCTCCTAACTGCAAAGCTGGTATTCAATGTAGCTGAACCCTCTGATGTCACAGGGGGACCCTTTCAGAACTCGCATCGCAGACGCGGGCCTCTCGGTTTCATGCGTGTGCTGGAAGCATGGACTCTTCTCAGTCAAGAGCTCACACCTGACACAGCCTCTGAAAGGCAGCAGCTACTAGGATTTCTTGCCTTGGCCCTAAGTGGGTTGATCCCCCACACGGAAAAGTCCTGTTACAACCTCCACTTCCCTCTTTCGCTTTCTGCAGGTGAAAACGTCAAGGATTTCTTTTTCCGTGTGGCTGCTTTGGCCTTTGAAAAGTCAGTCCTGATGGAGCTGCAGAAGAGCAGCTGCCACACCGCTCAGATCGGGACCGGAAACCTCATCAGTAGGTTGAGCTTTGCTCGCTTGGGTGGGGGGGAAGGAAAGCTAACCGGGTAACCTTTCAAGGGAGGCAGATGGCGAGGGCCAGATTCTGTTCATCTTTTCTTCCAGACTTGCAGGGTAAGGATGATGGCTTGCTGAGGAATAGGTCCCATCAAATTGACCGAAACTCAACCCCACATAATGTCGAAGCACCTGCAATGTTGCAGCCTTCATGCTTCAAGCCCCAAGGCTGCCAGGCTGATGGATCTTTATTGTGCAGGATTGAAGGCTAGAATTTAGCCAGGCATCCGTCAGTCTCATGCCTTTCGCCGGGGGGGGGGGATCTCCCCTTCAAAAGTACATGAGAAGGACTTTGCCCACGTTGCCCAGGTATTCCACATGGGTCCCCCTGTCCCTGCAGTGGCTCCAGCTTAAAGAACCCTAAGATTTGCTGCCTAATGAGACGGTTTGGATTCTCTGGAATGCACGCAGAAAATTCTAACTATCTCCATCCTGGTCTATGAATGCCAAGTTTCCGTAGGATTAAGACACCCTGGTTACCGTGGGATCGAACGGCTGTTACTGTGTAGTGAACTCAGCTTCGAGATATATGCCATCACCCCCACAAACAGTGCCAAGACCAAGCAGTGCCACAGAGGGCTCTTCCTGGCAGGTGGCCCCCTCGAGCAGGGGGGAGCTCCAGTCCCCACCTTTCTCTGCTCCAGCATCCTGCCCAGCAGTGCCCCTCACCCTGTGGTTGCAATTTCACAGAAAATGGGGCTGTGCGGAACTGATCCGGGCATTTTGTTCTCCTGGCAGAGATGGAAGGAACTTCCTCTGAGGCTTCGAAATGTCAAGCCAGCCGGGGTTGCTGCTAGTGGCCAGCGGCGGTGTGCCCCTTGGGCCAGGACCTCAGGGTAAGAGACGGTGGATCGTGAAGCAGACTCTCTCGGAAGGTGGCGGGCAGTCCTTTGGGGGCGGTTTTCGAGCAGGTTTTCCTCTTCTAAAAGTCTACAATTCCCGGGTCAGGTGAGAAGTGCGGAAAGCAACACGTGAGGGACTTGGGAGCAACGGAATCTGGCCACCAGGACAAGGGTGGCCAAGGAGAGAGAAGCCTGCCACACGCTGAGGGACTGCCGGCTCGTTGCCCGCCCCTGCTGACAACCTGCCAGGTGGCCAACTGCCTCTCGCCACCTGGTCACCTGCCGACCAAACTGTTGCAGAGGCAGAAACACCTGTTTGGGCAGTGAAACCGGTCCGCTGGTACGTGGCCCACCTGAAGCCACACCCCCAGCCCTGGGCAAGGAAAGGAAACACCAGCGTCCCTCCCTACTTAGCAAAAAAGAAGAAACCATTCGTTCCCTTGCAACTGTAGCAGAAATCTCTCCCTCCCTCCCGCCCCCCACTTTGCCTTTTCTTTGGGCTTGAGTTGGGCTCTCCAAAAAGGCCCCTGGAGATGGTTCATCTCCTCCACCTGTGCAGCGCAGTTCCTCGGCAAAGCTGGGTTCAGAGACACACTGAACCCTGAGGATCACCCCATCGTAGCCTTTAGGGCCTGTAGCGGCTGGCATATCCATCTACCCTAAGTGGGACAAAACTGCTTTTGAATCTGTCCCTCTTGGCAACCTCCTCCACTTCATGTGGTGGCAAATTCCATTGTTTACATTTTCTGTGACCAAACAGTTTCGTTTCAAAATCAGGTGTTATAGATAGCCCCTGATTAGAAGAGGAAAACCCTTAACTAGTGAGTGGTGTTGCAGTGCAAGGCCTTTTCTCACCTCCCAGAGTTGGCTGATCAGCTTTCTGTTGGTCTCCAGAACCTAACCGTACGGTTCCTTTGAAGGATGACTTTCCAGTGGCAATTAAAGTGGCCTCAAACTGCTGGGACTGTGCCGTCCAGACACACTATGGCTGCTTCTGTGCTGCACGTCACTGGCAGTGGCCCGGGAGGCAGGGTCAGATTGCCACGGGATGGGAGGAGAGAAGAGTGGCACCAACTCCGTGGCTGCTGTTTTTGTAACGGGTCACAGATTTATGGCAGGGGTGAGAATAATGTGGCCTATCATTCACAGGTGGCCTCTGCAGAAGTGGGAAGGGTTGAAGTGGGGAAGAGTCGTGCCCCTAGGAACAGACCCCCCCCCCGGCCCTTCAAAAAGAAGAAATGGCCTTATTTTAGCAAACTATTTGCTCAGTTAAAGGAAAGCCAGTTATTTCCTGCTTCTGGTTTCACTGGGGGAGGGGTCTGTTGTGACCCCTGGAGGGCCCTCCTCCGAGCATCCCCACTCCTGTGGGGAGGACACCCTCTCTTTGCTCCACATTGTGTGGGAAGGAAGGGAGTGCCTCCCACTGAAACCGAGCAAGGCAGAAACAAGGACCTCCTTGGCAAAAAGGCCCGACTTCCACGAAAGGTCCCGAGGACGGCCGTTTGCTCAAATGGCTCTTAAGAACAACTTTAAGAATCTATTAAAAAAAACTGTGGATGAAGGATTGGCCGAAGCGTGGCTTTCCTCCCTGGGGCAGGGAGACAACGGTTCTGCCCCTGTGGATCCCGCTGCTGGTGCCCGCTGTGCTCTGTACCCTGTAAGAAACGAAAGAAAACATTTTGAGCTGTCGGCTCTCCAAAAGCCGAGTGTACTCCAAAGATGTGCGTAATAAAATAAAGACTCCGTTCCCCCTGGGCTGGTCCTCTCTGGCATTTATCTCACCCAAAGGGACTCCTGGGGCCCGTGTGGTTGCCACTTTCGTTCCATAAACTGGTCTTGGACTTTCATAATAGTTTTTTTAAAAAGTGTTCTAGAGATGTTTGGAAGAGAGGAAGCACAGGGAAGGGTTGCTCATCCGCAGTGTCGTCCCCCCGCCCAGATGTGGACCCACCACTGGGGGTGACCACCTGCAAGCCTCCAGAGAGACCAAAAGGACAGCTGGGTGGGCAGAGGGACGCTGGTCCAGATCTGGCCATGCTGTCCTTATGCCCTGACGAGAGGAGGCGGCTGGTGGCTTGGGGGGACCCTTGGCTCCTCTCCTCGGCCTGGTTTTCTAGCCACACAGAGAACAGCGTTGCTTAGGAGGAGCGCAAGGGGTGGGGTGGGGGGTGGAAGAGCGAGGCTGGGCAGGAAAATAGAACGGAAGGAGCAGGAGAGGAGATCCTGTGGGAGCCAAGGATGAGGCCAGTGCCGACAGCAGGAGGGGCGGCGCCTGAAACAAGGACACACCTGCAGCTGGTATACAGGACGGGCAAATTGAAATACAAATTCAGTATTAACTAAACACAATACCAATTAAACCTTCCCCACCTGTGCCACCTTCACCCTTGGGACAAGGTGACCATGTTAGGCCTCCTTCCGTCAGGTCTTGGAACCGTGTCTATGGGGCTGGGAAGGCCAATCCGAGAGGGACCGTCCCTTCCACACTGAAGACCCGTACAATCTAGGTAGCCAGTAATAATACCCTTTTACAACGGTTCACCCCCTTCCTCTCCAGGAATACATTGATTTCATCTCTCCACCACATGGGCAGGTGGGTCCCTTTCTGCATCTCCAAATATATATATATGCACAAATCTTCCGGGGCTTCAATGGGAGGCGGAACCAGCCTCCTGACTGGCAGCTCGCGCCTGCCCAGGGCTCGTTCCCAACAGGTCCGTGGGAGGAGGGGAGCCGGGCAAGGGCTGGGAAAGCTCTGGGGAGGGGGCGCCCCCTCCCTCCCCCCACATTTAGAGCGGCCCCTTGCAAAGGCGGCGTAGCTGCTGCGGCAACGAACCCCGCGCGGTGCTTGGGGGG